ACAAGTTTTCTTGGCGCTTCTTTTGAAATTTTATTCCGAATTTTATTCCGATCTTCAGCCTTGTTGACCGAAAAGTTTCCAATTCAGGCTCAAAAAAACGTGTACAAACGAAAAGAGTTCAAATGAACGCGAATTTCGACTATCAAAGGTTTTTAATTTATTCGGGAAAATTTGGGCTTCGATTGGAGCGGAAACAAACAAGGCCAAGAAGCCAACGACTTCGCCCCAAAACTACCAACTTCAATGTTTTTCAACTTCAAAATAGCTAACTTTTAGGCCAATCTGTTCAAGTATGTATTTAGAATGTCTTTTGAACTATTTCACCCACAAGTTTTCTTGGCGCTTCTTTTGAAATTTTATTCGGATCTTCAGCCTTGTTGACCGAAAAGTTTCCAATTCACTTTCGGGTTTCTTCAACTAATACTTTTGATATTCAAAGCTTAATGATCGGAAAACTGAATCGACTATTTGTGAGTTTTTTGGGTTTATTCAACATCTTCAAAACTTTTCTTTTTGATAAAATTTAATTTTGATTTTTAAGGAAACATCTAAACAAGATAATTTTTGGGTCCAAGATGTTCGAGTATTCATATATTTATAATGGCGCTGAAGATTGTCCTGTCTGCTTAAGAGTATTTTAAAATTTTGCTTGGACCATTGAGCTTGTTGACCTAAAGTGCTTTAGTTTCCCTTAAGATGTCTTCAATTTGCTTCTATGTTTTCCTTTGAAGTTTCTTCAATATCTTCAAAAAGTATTCTTCCGCTGGTTCTTTTGCAATTTCAATGTTAAGAGTTTTGGTTTAATTTCCCAAAGTGTGACTTTTAACAATTAATTTTGATAGTCGCGCATAAAATTGTTTAATATCTCTTTCAAACTTTATTTAAAAAACCCAAACGGGTTTGTTTGCTTTGGGGTGTGTTCAAGTATAAATTTTGATCTTCCGAGCTTCGGGATCTAAAAACCGAACCGATTTTTGCGTTTGATTCAATATATAAGTTGAAAGTTTTCAGTTAATTTTTTTGCTCTCAGACTTAAAGCTGTTTAACATTTTTTCAAAATTGGGTTTATGTTAAAATTTTGTTTAGATCTTCAGGGTTTTTATTAAAAGTCGATTTTTTGCGCCGCTACACATCGTCTATTTCATTACGTTTCGGCGAGGCAACAGCGCCATCATCAGATTTAAAATTTACACACACTCATGATTGGTAAAAATCAACGTTCTTTTAGGTCTTTGCCTTCTTGAAACCTTAAATTTGTCTCCAAAGTGTGAAGTAAAAATTGTGAAACATCGTTGATTTTATTACGTTTCGGCGAGACAACAGCGTCATCATCAGATTTAAAATTTACACAAACTCATGATTGGTAAAAATCAGCGTTCTTTTAGGTCTTTGCCTTCTTGAAACCGTAAATTTGTCTCCAAAGTGTGAAGTAAAAATTGTGAAACATCGTTAATATCATTTCGTTTCGGCGAGACAACAGCGCCATCATCAGATTTCAAATTTACACAAATTCATGATTGGTGAAAATCAGCGTTCTTTTAGGTCTTTGCCGTCTTGAAACCTTAAATTTGTTTCCAAAGTGTGAAGTAAAAATGTTGTCATTACGTTTCGGCGAGACAACAGCGCCATCATCAGATTTACAATTTACACAAACTCATGATTGGTAAAAATCAACGTTCTTTTAGGTCTTTGCCATCTTCAAACCTTAAATTTGTCTTTCGAGAGACAAATTTAAGGTTTCAGGAAGGCAACGACCTACAAGAACGTTGATTTTTACCAATCATGAGTTTGTGTAAATTTTAAATCTGATGATGACGCTGTTGTCTCGCCGAAACGTAATGAAATGAACGATGTTCAAAATTAAACCCAGGAAAGATAAGAATATCATAACAAGTACACGCAGTTAGGAAAATAAATGAGAATTTTTATTTTAAGGCTTTTGATGCCAATGCAAAGGTAGATTTTCGGTTTATGCCGCTTTTGAAGAACACATTTGATCATCAGAGCTTCTGTGCCTCTTTTGAAGAGTAGCAGGTTGCTTGACCTAAACGCTTAAATGCCTTTTGCGTTGGCTTCTAAATGGAACTTTGAGTTTGGGTTTTGTATTCGTCCCTGGCGCTTCTTTAAGATGTGAGCGGCAACCCGCAAGTGCGCTTGTGTTGCATTTGCAATTTCCCAGCAAAAAAATCGAATTTCAAAACATCCTGATTTAACCGAAACTTCCTCAATAGGTAGGGACAAAGTAGGGACCATTATGGGTCGAATGGTGGGCATTTGGAGGCTTATCTTATCCTAGCTGTTGTAGCGAACTCACCATCATCTTTAGGCGATGGAGGACAGTTCGATGCGTAGGATCCTAAATGGTATCCGGTATACGAATTCTGATGCATCGGAGGAAACGGATAGGCGCCAAGGGCGCCTCTTGGGCTCGGAAAGCCCGTATCGTGGGCACCTGGGGGTCCTGAATGCGCATTTCCCGCCGGCGAATTAAAGTGGTGCTGATAGGATGTCCGTAAGGGACCGTAACCGTGCTGTTGGAGCTCGATAAAAGCACTTTTCGATACTGGCGTAGAGTTGCTGGAGTCGTGAGGGGTGGGAGGACCCAGATGAGGCTCGCCCGACATCGTAGGAGTCCCTGGCGGATCCTCGTTTGGTCCCCCGAACGGGGACCCGAGATCCGTGAAGTTTAACGTTGTGAAAGGTTTGTTTTCCACTTTGATGAAATTCGGAGGCGTCTTGAATAAACTGGGAAATGCCCAGCAGCTCACTGCGCAAACTGTAACACACTAGCAATTAAGCCGGGAAACCAAGTCACCAAAAGAGACCCGATTGTCGTCCGCTGATAAAAAGCGCACAAAGTCACTAACTGTATCCGAAACCAATAAAGTCACGGCAATTGTCGAGGAAAAACGAATAAACAAATCGCATCAAAATATCGAAATTACTTTAAACAGTTAATAACATTAATCGAAAGACCCGAAAGCAATTTAGCGTATTCAACTGCGATAATACGTGTAATTCACACTATAATTGAGTAAAAACTATTTGAAGATTAACCCGAAACCAAATTACACGAAATTGAGCGCATATGTCGTTTTTTTACGTCGAAAATTGATCGTTCAAAACCAACCATCTACTTCCTACGAGCGTAGGGACTATAATGAAGAATAATCATATAATAGTCGGCTTGGGACGCCTAGTTGCACCTTTCAACCGGCAGGTTTCGCTACCATTCAGCGCTACATCGAGGCTACGCCGCCTCGAACGTTTTTCATTGGTTTGGAGTCGCGTTACGAACCGATCGGGGACTTGTTATTACCAGATTTCAGGCCGAAAAGGCGGGACTCTTTCCAACATTATCACGCCCTTGCAGACTTCAAGGCGCTCGCTTTTTAGGTTAAGTCTCACAGAACTTCTCGCTATTAACATATTGTTGCCGCTTTGCATACTTGCGGTATTCCATAACAGTGCAAATAAAGTGA